CTTTTTGTCTCTAACATTATTTCATTGACCAATCCAGTAATACTCTCATAAGATATCCCCCTTAGAAATGGCATTTACAATATGCCCCTTGTTAAAACAAAACAAAGAAACTTAACATTTTCATTTAGAATGCCACAATTTGATCTAAGCTTAATATAACAAACACATAATAAAATTATAATTATCAAAAAGTTAGTGACAGTTATTAATATGTAGGTATTAATGTATAGTGACTCCAATGGGTATGACCTTAGAGAATCAAAACCAAAGAGAAAATACCTTCCAAAAAAAAAAAAAAAACTTTGAAGAAAAATGTTCCCTTCTTTTAGTTTAACCTAAACAGCCAAAATAAACAAGCATGTGGTCACTGTATGTGCACATGGTAATGACACGAAACAGTAGCACGAAAAGAAGTGGTTTTTTGATGACTATTTGCTGTTGATTATTTTCTGAGAGGGTGGACACTTCTTTCCCTACACAGCACCTTATAAAAAGGAAGGACACTATTCTTAGGATGACTGATGAATTTCACTATCACACTGGAGCAAAGCAGTTTTGTTTATGTAGGTGTACATATATTTCTGCATTTTATATTATGCATTAACTTGAAAACACATTTTAAGCATCTCACTTTCCATTCCTTATTTATACTGTAATTTATGTTGTTAAAATGTTAGTAAGAAACCCATGCACCTACTGATTAAACATACATGGCACCTAATACCATAGCTCTTATGATCACAGCCCCCCCTAAATCTTGAGAAACAACTGCATTAGCAGCCATGCCAAAGATTTAGAAAGGTTTTTATCTTGTGAACAATTACGGTTCTTGTTTGAGTGAAAAATTCATAATAAAAGCATAACACTTTTGGGGATACAATGTTCATTATACATCCTTGTAATCAGTTTCTACTTCAGTTTTCATTTTTTGTTAAGACTCCAAATATGTGATGAACATGCAAGATTGTTGCATAGATATATATTTGAATAAAATGATTTTCCTCAACTGTTCATTTAAAAAAAAAAAGACTCCAAATAATAAAACTATTTGCAAACTGTTGATTTCCTTGTAAATTCCCCTTTCTTTGACTAAATCAATATATGTTCTACACATCTATGTTCATATATTAATTAAGCTTTAAATGAGGTTTATATTCAAGCATTCCTATAAATAACCCACAAATACGTAATCTCTCTAATTCTTTGTAAAAAGGTATAATTATATTTATTTAGGGAAAGTAAAGAATGTATAAAATTTGAAAAGTATTTTTATGTCTAAAATTATCTAGTTAGATCACTCTAGTTCAAGGATACTTTCTTTTTTAGCTTGGGCCTGTTGACCTTCCTTATTTCACTCCAATCCAAGGGCAATGAGAACCCAGTATATGGCAAAGACTCTATCAAGATTTGAGAGGCTATGAAGATGCAGAAAATGCAGACTTTGCTTCTTACCGACAATCAGTTGAGTATGTGTACTGAATTCATTATGATCAGGTATAAACCACAACAATGAGGTATAAAATGCCACAGGAGAATTATTTTTAATTCTATCCAATAAGGGAAGGCTTCTGAGAGGAGATGGCATTTTCTCTCAGCTTTTAAAAATGAGAGTAATTTCATAATTTCAACAGGTGAATGTAGAAGTGAGGAGAAGATGCTAGGCACACAGCAAAGCAGGAAGAAAAAGACAAGGATTTGAAAGCATATGACTAATTTTGGGGGTGGGGGTGGGGGAATGGGACTGAATTGTGTTTGAAATCTGTGGAGGTCAAGAGAGGGTAGATGGAGCTGAATTTGGAAAGGTGGGCCACAGTCATGGTATCTACCACACCATTAATAGCCATCTTGCAAATTTCTTTTCTTCGTAAGAGTAAGTCAACTGGTATAAACACCACTCTTCTACGGGGGTAGGGGTGATGGAGATGGGAATGTGTGTGGGTGCAGGGCTCCAACTCAATACTCTTTTCATAACTACTTACTACTTAAGTAGTATGTAGTAATAAATTACTACTTAATTACTACTTAATAAAGGATTTTTTAAAACCCTACATTTAAAATAAATTACTACTTAATAAAGGATTTTTTAAAACCCTACATTTAAAAATGTATATTACCCTTCCCCAAAACACAAAATGTGGAGCTATTCTTTATTCTGTTTGCAAGCACATCAAAATATATTCTACTTGATAATGTGCTTAAAATTTCTATGCCTCTTTTTTTCTCCCAATAAGACAAGATTTTTTCCACCTCAAGGTCTCTGCACACATATTGCTCCTTCCACCTCCTCTTAAAACCTCTGCATCCTTCTTACCTGTCAGCTCTCAACCTGTGGATGCCAGTGTTGTCCACGCTGACTACTTTATCTAATTAGATCCCTCTCTCCAGCCCTCTCTCCCCAATAATTCTTTATCCCAGCTCTCTTCATGCTTTATAGGACTTTGAATTTTATAATTTCTTATTAATTTGTTCTTTCCATAGGCAATGACTCTCTACCCCATGTTTGTGAGTTCCTTGAGGGCAGGAACTTCAACTCTTCTATTCACTGCTGTACATATATAATACCTGCAACAGACCCTAACAGATTGTAATGATTCAATAATTGTTGTATTATTTTCAACTCTAAAGACATAAACCCATCAGACTTAAAAGTTGTATCTTTACATTAACAAATATGATTTTTAAAATTTTATGAGGGCCGTTTCCTATGTAAAGACTGTGTCAGAAGAAGGTAAATATGCTTAAACATGTCCTAAAATAATATTTAATTAAATAAATATTACATATAATAATATGAAAGCACATCTTTATATGTCAATATATAATTTATGTTAACATAAAGTCTTAATGTTTGTTTTGTTTAAAATCGGTGATGCTAACAAATTAATCCTTTTTGGATACTCAAGAGATACATCTGCATTTTTCTCCACTGAAGAATATATATATTTATATATAAGAAATATAAGAATAAACAATTTTTCATCATACTTCCTTATAACATATCTTCTCTTCAATTTTCCTGTCAAAAGTAAGGTAAGAAAATGACCTCAAATATATTTTTCTTACAGAACATTGAAGATTGCTTGTCATTTCAGAATCAGGATTACCAAGAGAGCAGTCGGGGTTGAAAATAGAGAAGTGGACTACTAGAAAACTCAGCTATCTTTCTATACTGACCAAAAAAAAAAAAAAAAATAAAGCCCCAACTTAAAATGCATCAAGTGTAAAGCAAATCCTCCTTCACCACCCAATATGGCACAAAACATTTGTTATTCATATTTAGAAAATAATCTACTCACTATATTCTTAAGGAATATATACAATAAGTTTTAATTATTGTTTATATTAAAATAAGCTTATTTAGTAGACAGTGTGTTAATTTACTTTAAGTAGACAGCCAATTTGGAGCTCTATGTGGTGGAAACCATATTCTAAAAGAGAATCTGTTTGATGACATAAGGGGAAAAGCAAAATTTAAGTCATAATGGGTTGATCCTCCATCTATCAACAGTGATTAAGGCAGTCGAGTTGGTCTCATGACACCAAGGTGGACTGGATAAGGCTCTAGGCACTGGTCTGAAAATATGATTAACCCCAAATTCTCCAACAAGAAGTCTCTATTTTATTTATATTTTATTTCTCTAACAGAACTTCCATTCTGATTTTCTTCCTATCTTTGCCTTTTAAGCTTAATAGTAAAAGCAAGTAATCTCCAATTTCTTAAATGTGACAACAAGCAATTGTCCTTTTAAAATATTTAACATTCGCCTTTTTTTTAAATAACAACAAATAAAAAGGATCAAAACTTTTGGTCATCAATTTGCAAATGTAAGGACACACACTCACTCACAGAGAAACACATGTATAGCTTATGCTTCTATCCCCCGTCTTTGGAACAACAGGGTATTTAAAACAAATACAGCTGGGAGCCGAGAATGTAATGTGCTGGGCAAACATGCACTCCCATTAACGTAAATATATTCTTCAGTGTTTCCTACCAACCCCACTTGGTTATGAAAAGCCAGCAATGTCTATTTCCCCCACCGAACACGCCACATGCTCTCAAAACAACCAGCCTAAGCAACTGGATGCAGAGACAGGCAGAGAGAGACAAAAGCGCCTGGCTCCTGAGTAGGACGCCTTCTCAGACCCTGGCATTTCAAAGGCGGCGAAAGAAGGTCACCCTAGGTACTAGTTTCTCAAACAAATACCTGTAGTAAGGTAACTATTCTAGTCACCTTTATATAGTAGCGGCTTGTGTCTCAGGCAATTCGCCAGTTTTTCAATTATAACTGACACATATTAGGGACTTCTACCTCTGCCCCCTTGCTCACCAGAATTCATACTCTTTCCTCAAACTCCTTGCGCCCCTGTCCCCATCCTAGGCTTTGATTGAAGGGCTGCAGAGCCGGGGGCTGCGCAGTAAGGTATCTACTGCTAAACCTCAGCGGACTGGGCCATAGTTCACACACCCTCCACTCCTTCCACAGCAACCCCCGCTGGGGGCACCGCCAGGATCCCCACACTTGGCCAAAGTCTGGGAACCCAGGAGGTTTCCAGGAGACCCCAGAGACCAAGTGAGGCCAACCCCATAGAAACCCCTGCCAGCTCAGATCAGACTGCTCGGAGCAGCGGAGCGACCCCGGGTGTGGCAGGAAGGGGTGTCCCGCGTTCCAGATCCAGACTCTGTCCTCCAGGGAAGCCGAGACTCCGTGGAAACGGGTTTCCCAGAGCCCAGCCCGCAGGGACGCGGAGGGCAGGAGCCACTGGCAACTAGCAGCCAACTTGCCAGCTACGGCGGCTGCACTTCTCGGCGGCTACAGGTTGCCCCACAGCGGACTCCCAGGTCCCCACGACGGCGCCTGCCCGCCCGGGGTGCGGGGAAGGGAGGCCTGGCCCGAGGTGGACGGGGAGACCTAGGGAGGGAAGGAGCCTGGGGAAGCTCAGTCCATGCGGGGAGGGAGTGACCCGAGGCACACCTCCCGACCGTGACCCCCACAGACCTTGGCGCCGCAACCTGCGCTTCTTGAGGCCGAAGATGCGCACTTTGGAGAAGATATCCACCAGGTTGCCGTTGCAGAGCCCGCGGTTCTTGCTGGGGCTGCTCCGCCTCCTGCTGGCAGACGGCCGGTCCCAGTGCTGCTCCCGCGCCTGCCGCTTCTGGCGGATCAAGCCGCTGGCGATGGCCGCGGCCATGGTGGCCCCAGGAACGGGTCCGGGAGAGAGGGCGCGGGAGGACTGCGAGCTTGGGGCACCGGAGGGGAAGGTGGCGGAGCGGATTGCGGCTTGCCCTTGGGGCAGAGGAGGGGGTGCCAGGCGGGTCTGGGGAGACGGGAAGGAGTGCTCAGTCCCGACTGGGACCCATCGCCCTCACCTCAGGGCGCAGGGCCAGGCGCGCAGATGCGCCCGGGGCGCAGCCGGACGATCCCGGGGAGCCGGAGGTCGTGGCCGCCGCCGCTTGGCCGTGTCCAAGTGGAGAGCGGGACCGCGGCTTTGGGAGCTGCTGGTCACCACTGGTCGCCTGAGCCCTCGCGGGGGTCGCCACCGCCACTCGCGCTGCCTCCTCGCCCTGCCCGCCTCCCGGGAGGGAGGTAGAGCGGGCTGCCGGCTCCCTGGGCTGGCGCGGGCTGGAGGGCGGGTCCCGGCAGGTTCTGTGCGCGTCCGTCGGTCCGGGTCGCACTGGGCAGGACTCAGCGCCGGGCTCCAGCTGCCCCTGGGCCGGTGCGGCCGCCGGCGCCGCCCGCTCTGGGCTTCTGCCGGTGATTGTCAAGTGCTTTGGAAATCAGCATCTGGAGAGACCAATCTTCTCCCCTGAGATTTCTAATCAAACGCTCCGTTCCCACCCCGCTACACCCCCTCCACCTATGTGGTCCCCCTCCTGATGTACCTCTTCAGAAAGAAACAAAACGTATAGATAGTAATGATTTTAAAATCATAAGAAAGCGAGCTAAGATGGATTGCAGGGGTGGGGTGCTAAGAGGCTGAGCCAAAGCAGGTGGAATTGCAGGAACATCGGGGTGCTTTTTCTTAGATGCAACTCGCTGGTTCCCGAGGCTTCCGAGGCTTGGTTGGGGCTTCTTGGTCTTAACGTGGTTCTCGGTGCACAGAAACTCTCAGCAGCGGTTGGAGGGCGAGGTGGTTTCCGCCCTCCCTGCTAATCCCTTCAGCACCAACGCCCCCCACCCCCCAACCCCCCGGGGTGGAGGGAGGAGGGAGGCGCTTCCACTCCTCACCTAGTCCACCCAAACTTGCAGGATCCTCCCTTCTGCTGCCAGGAAGGGTAGGCTTGTCATTTTGAAAGGCTACAGGGAGCAAAAAGGAGGGAAGGGAAGGAGAAAAGATGTGATCAGGCTAGATAGAAAGACCCCACTCCCAAATCTGCTCCCCAGCCCTGGTAGGAGGAGATGACAGCCGCGGTAGCTGCTACAGAACAGCAGCTGGGTAGGATAATCGCCCAGGAGAATATTGAAGAAGTCAGGGCAGAAATACAAGGGGCAGAGGAGGGTGTCACACTATTCCAGTGACAGCGAAAAGCAGCCAGACAGGACACTCCAATTTGAGCTGTCGTCTTCTGGCGTCCCTGGGCAGAGAAGCTCTCTCAGGGAGCAAAGCCATCTGAACTGTGTCTGAAATTCAAATACAACAGCCACCGTCTCCTCCCCTTGATTTTCTGTCTGTGTCCCGACAGTGGTTCTCTTTTGCATAACTGAAAATGTGAGGTTCCAAGAGAAAGAGCGGCAGTGGAGGGCACCCGATAAAGCAAAGTGGCGGGGGGAGGGGAGGAGGTTGGGAGACAGACACTTCATGCTTGGATGAACATGGCTCCGTGGTTTCTAGGATACACCAGAGTGGCAGAACCAAGTGCAGCTCTTGCTCCAGGCTTCTTACTGTTCTCCCCTTCCCTTCACACTGCTTTGCCTATCAGCTCAGGCAGTTAAAGAAAAAGAAATGCTCAAACTAGACTTCTCAAAATTCAGTATGAAGCAAGGGGGAAAGAAGACTCATTTGGTAATCAAGAGAATTGCAACCACCTTCTTCTCCAGTGACTGCTTTAGAGCTGGAAAGAGGGCAGTCACACTACACAGGCATCCCTGGGAGCAGTTCTCAGCCAAAACACACTTTCTCTTTGTCTCAGGAATAGGCAGCAAAGTACTCGCCACCAGGCAACTCGGGGGAAGTGCAGCAGATTATAGAGAGGCTGGGCACCCTCTGCTCTAGGCAAGGGATCCACAGCTCCTCCATGGGAGCAGCCACTGCTGGGCTGCTGTTCCTACCTTCACTCCGTATTTACCAACAAGTCTCCTTTTGGGAAGGAAATGCAACCTAATGGGAATATGTAGATTTAGATATAAGATAGGCATAATTGGCTTTAGGATCGGGTATATCACGTTTAATGTTAAAACATGTACTTCTGGAAGTTTGTTTTCCACACTTTGCTATGTTACATCAACAATTTCTACAGTTATTAAAAGGAATATGCTAGAGTGATTTTGCTAGAAACCTGCAATCCCTAGTCACTCATAAAACAGCAAAAATGAAGGGAAAGGGCATGCTATTTGTTTTGCTCTTCCTCTTCCTCTTTATTTTCTGCTTCATGTCTCTTTTCTTCCATTTTTGGTGAATGTGTGTTTGTGTTGGGTTGCTGTGGTCCTGCTTAAAAAGGGAAAGACATCTATAGGGAGATGAAAATAACTAATTAAATGGCTATCGAGTGTGTCTGTTGTTTCAATTCACTGAAATGAGTCCCACAGAACATTAAGAGTGACTACTCTTGGTTTCCATTACTGAAAAAAGGCCATTTGTACATTTCAGAAGTTCTAGATTTGAATTTGCAAGTGACTGCAAGATTAAAGCATCCAGGTTTATTACCTAAGGCTTCTTGCAGTGAGTGTTTCGCAGAAGTAAAATGTTAAGTATAATGACCTCTTAAATCTAGTATGACCTCCCCAACCAACACGCCTAGTTTATTTTTAAAGGTTCTTTAAATCTTTTGATGCATGTTCCAACTATATTAATTTGAAAAGAGTGACATTAAGCTTCTTGTTCTTACAGCTATGCTTATATTTTTGCAGGCATTTTCTTATACTGCAGTCTTTCCGCCAAATCCTTAAACTGGGAGGTCAGGAGTTCAGTTTTTAGTTCTCTCAGAGCCCTCCCTTCATTGTTCAGCAGCCTCAGACCAGGCTGACATTCAGCACCGCGGACAGGGATCCCGCCCCAGTCAAACCTCTTCCAGCAGATGCAAGTTCGCTGACTGTGAAAAGTACTGGCTGTGAGGGTCGACGCTTTCCTCCCCTAAAAGCAGTTTCTCACTTTTCCCCCTCAAGGTAGGAAGGAAATTAACCTTCACAGCTTCTACCGACATTAATAACACACCTTGGAGCACAAAGCCTTTCAGCTTTTCCAAAACCGAGAGATACTCTTTCTTTCTTGAGCGTTCAGACCCCTGGCGCAGCGCACGGAATAGCATACTCAGGAGTCTCCAGGCATCGATTCTCGCTGTGAATTTCAGGAGCCTCAAGCAGTCATTTCTTTTCTACGTGGCTTCCTATTTTAAGGGAGCTTGGAGAGGTGGGCAGCATTGGGATAATCAAGGTTATCCCAATGCTTAATCCCTGCATTTTCATTTTACTTCCCCCTAAACGCTGTTTAGTTGTTTACAGATAGAGGTAAGTGAAAGAAAACGCAAGAGAGCCATCTGCTGTCTTAAGCTGTGATAAAAGAGTGTGCAAAGCTAGGGTGAAAACCGATTCAGGACCGGTGAACACAAATGTAAAGGTTACTGTGGTTCAGAAAATAATTTCTCACTCATCAGAACCTCCTTGGAGTTGTTAATTTCACCTTTGAACGTTACAAAGAGTAAAATGAAGTACTGCCCAGGTGGTGTAGCTCCTGACCAAGCTGTTGGGAGCTTGAACTCTCATGTCAGAGGTTCTTGGTTCATTTCTTGACTCTGCAACTTCCTAGCTGTATAATGACCTCCAATGTGTTGCTTTAGTCTCTCTCAGCCTCAATTTAGAACAGAACCTCCTTTTCAACTGCTGTGAGATTAAATTTAACAAATACGTGTAAAGATTCTAGTATCACATCTGGCACACCCTAAGTGATTGAAAATGACAGCTATGACTATATTATCGTCACCTTACAGATGACTCATTTCTCTCTTGTAAATTCTTTTGCAGTTTCCATTTTTTATATCAAAATATATGTATTCCCCATGTATATTTCCTCATCCTCCCTCCACGCAGTGGATTCCTGATAAGATTTTAAATATTTAGAAATGCAAGAAATTATTTTATATTTTGGTAAAATAAGTCCCAAGTTCAAACTTTAGTTATTATTGACTACATTTGTAAACTGAGTCCCATAAGCCTACTTTCATACCAACTCAATGCTGATAACGAAAACATTTCTCTACCTTTCAAAGACTATGATGGGGGTCTATGACAAAGTACTTCTAAAAGCAGTCAAGTACTATATGAACACCAGTTTGGAAGGTGATTAGTCCACTCTACACTGTGCTGAAAGTCTCCTGCAGATGCTATGGCCCTGTCCTCATACTCCTCTTGGTGATATAAAACAGTGGCTAAAGAGTAAGGCAAATTGTCCTTGAGCAATTAATTTAACTTCTCCAAGTCTCAGTTTCCTGTTCTATAAAATTGTCATAATAATACAATAAGCTAATAGCCTTAATGAGAATTCTATGAGAACATGTATGTAAAACAAAGCAGTGCCAGGCACTTAAATGAATACATAGTGGCTATCGGTAATCACTTAATTCTTTAGCACTCAGGTCTTTAGTTATTCAATGATTGTATCTTTATGAGTGTTTACTCTGTACATGTCAACATTATAGTAGGGGAGGCAAATGATGTTTATCTTTTATTATTTTATTTTTTAGAGTAGGGTCTTGCTCTGTTGCCCAGAATGGAGTGCAGTGCTGCAATCATGGCTTACTGCAGCCTCAATCTCCCAGGCTCAAGCAGTTCTCCCACCTCAGCCTCTGGAGTAGGTGAGACCACAGACATGCACCAGCACACTTGGCTAATTTTCATTATTTTTATAGAGACAGGGTCTATGTCACTCAGGCAGGTCTCGAGATTTTTTTTTTTTTTTTTTTTTTTTTTTTTTTTTTTTTTGAGACGGAGTTTCGCTCTTGTTGCCCAGGCTGGAGTGCAATGGCGCCATCTCGGCTCACCGCAACCT